CCTGAGGCACTACCTTGACCTGCGAGTGTACTCTCATCTTTGAGACAACACAATCAAGGAGGCCTTTGGGCGTCGGAGTTGATATCACGACAGGAAAGCAACAGCAACTTGCTTTGATCATGTCTCCTGCCAGTGGACGAGTGCCCGGCCAGAGAAGCCCCCACGTGCTGGTGAGCTTTCCTTTCATCTCATATTAGGTTCTTCCTATCCTATAGGGTATGCTAATTATGGGATTACACGGGGTAATAGGTCACGGACTCGCGTGAGCAACAACCTCAAGCTGTTCGTCGTGCCCCCGGTACACGCTTTATCACCGTCGATAATGTCCTTCAATACGCTTCCGACGTACCCTCCATGCAACAACGTCTTCCGCCCCCGACCACAACACAACCACGGCCACGCTCTCGTCTAGCATCTGCAGCTGGCGGATTGATCGGTGCAGGAAGTAGTGCAGGTGGCTCTGGTCCTATTGGAAGCGGAAGTCGACTGGCCAACACCGCAGCAACGATGGGACGACTTGCCGCGCAACCGCGTTTACCTCCGCGTACGACAAAAGTCAGCGAGAAGCTCGTGCTTCTGCCGGAAGCAGAGGGAGTGGAGGGGGATCTGAACGAGGAGGAAGAAGAAGACGAGGTGGACGAGGAGTTCGTCCAGAGACTGGCCAAGGAGAGGAATCTGGATCCCGATTCTTTGCGACAGAGACTCTTGACACAGACGAGGCTTGGGGGTGATTTCGGCGTCGACAATGACATCGCTCCTTTGCTGGCCGAGGAAGAGCTGCTGCATCGACGCAAAGTTGCGCCCGAAAAGGCCAAAAGCTACGCAGAGCGGTTACCCAAAGCCCGTCGTGCTGAGAAGTTGGCGCGTGTTACTGCTTATTGCACGGCGCAGGCTTACAAGATGAGTTCGTTGGCGGCTTTTGTCAAGGACAAGCATGGCGGACGGACTAAGCTGTACGATGATTGTCTGTATACGGCGTACCATTTACCGCTGTTACCTGGTCTTGAGGGCTATCGTGTGCGAAGCAGTCCGATGGTGAAGAAACCCGGAGGCAAATCCCTTTTAGATGAAGAAATCGAGAGGAACGAGCTTCGCGACCATCATGACGACTATGTGATGGACGCAGAGGAGCATTCCGTCGGCGGCCACCATCAAAGACACGGTTCATTGCGCGATGTTAGCGACTCATTGGAGCTCGATGGCACATTGATCCACAAGTTCGACGAGGACTTACACCACTCTGAAAGTGATACGGTGAGGGATACCAGCAGAGTCTCAGTCCCTGGCACTCGGCCAGCCCAAGCATCTCCTGCCTCAACAGCGCCCGCACGCCTACCGTACGATGTCGCAGAGATGTTTGTTTTCAGCTACGGCGTAGTGGTTTTCTGGAACCTGACAGAGAGACAAGAAAAGGATCTCCTAGCCGATCTGGCGTTTGCAAACTCCTCGGCCACAGGATCCCGCATACCCCTGGCAACCATGCCCTTGGACGAAGAGGACTTTGAAACAGAAGAATTCCACTTCGAATACTCGACCGAGATTTCACGGCCACGGGTATTCAACGACATGATCACCCTGCGCAGCGGCGACCACATGATCAAACTAGCCATCAGTCACGGCATCGCTCAAAGCACCAAGCTCTGCTTCTTTGAAGAAGTTATGGCGCGCCAAATGGCCGAGGCGAAGGACGTCCCGCGCAGACTCGCCATGACAGGCAAGCTGGGAATGAAGCGCGAAGAAGTCTTCCGTATCTTGGGCAAGCTCTTCAAAAGCCGCGTGGAAGTCAATCTCTGTAAGTCCATCCCTCTACTACCTCTGCCCCAGCTCCTTTCCTCAAGCTAACAAGCACACCTCTGCAATAGCGTCCAACATGCTCGACGTACCCAACTTCTTCTGGGAGAGCGAACCAACCCTCTACCCGCTCTACAACGCCGTCCGCGAATACCTCGAGATCAAACCCCGGATCCAAGTCCTCAACGAGCGATGTCGAGTCTTCCTCGACCTCGCGGAGATCCTCTCCGACTCGATAGCCGATAACAGAACATCCCGTGCGTCCTTCTCACTGCTTAACCAATCTGACTGACGTTTCTCACTAATTGGCTCCACTAGATCAAACCTGGATCATCATCGTCCTCATCCTTATCTCCATCGTCGTTACAATCTCCGAGGTCTTCCTCCGCTTTGGTCTGCTCTCGGCCCGCGAAAAGAACGCCTCTTCCACTTCCTTTGGCGCCATGCTTTTCTCTCGCGCTTCGAATCCAGCAACCTGCTCGTGTCCTGCGCAGGGTGCGTTTGACATGAATGCAACTGGGCTTGGGACGCATTATTCCTAGTCGTCTCATTTCTAGTTTGCCTGAGTCAGCATTATGCAGGTTGTCCATTACGTCTTGGCCAACATCCATATATCCGATTTCTCAGCACTGACTGCTATGATTTACTAAGGCATCCAGGATCTTATTAATATATCTTCGTCTCTCAAAAGCCATCCGGCAGCCTTCGATATTTAATATGCTTCTATCATACATACAGTTGTGTAATGCTCATTTACAAGGTTCCTGTGTTGATTCTTTGACAAAGGAAAAGGTACAAAGGAAATTCGAGGGGTAAAACGAGACAAGCGATAGGGGGAATAATGTATCAACAACACAGACAAAATTAGGTATAGGGGTGATGCAAGGGTATTGAAAGCACCCAAAACCAGCAATATCGATGACAACACAGATAGAAAACAGATACCCGAATTCCAGAACCCCGTCCTACCTAGCCATGAGCCATCCAGCTCTCTATTGATGCTTCATCCTGGTCGTGTCACACATTAAGCAGAAAGAAACGAATAGAGAACACAAATCAGAGCTAGTCCGGACTCCTCCCAGCGCGCTTATGCAAGGCCTTATCAATGCAAAGTAACAGTGAACAGAAAGAAAACAAATCCGCAAGGGGAGAAGGATGATTATGATGATGAGGGATATGAGCAAAACCAAAAAAGGAGACGGGTGAAACGATGAAGCAGAGCCATCTAGCTTCTGCTAGGAATACAAGAGAAAAAAGATGGATGGGGACAAGTGACAAAGGAAAATCGGATATTCCGTGCGCAAGAGCCATTTCGTTCCGCAGCAAGGAATCGATTCGATGAGACCGAACCAAATGCCGGTAGATGACTGCTCTCAAATACGGGAATTCTCGAATTACACGGGAGTGGACCACCCGTTGTCCCCCAATCTCGGCTTCAGTTCGTAGTTCTCAGGCTCAGTGCTCGTTGGCCGCCTAATGGTCGAGTTGGGGAAGTACATGTGCGGGGGCATGGAGCTGGGATAAGCTGGACCACTTGGTTCAGGGTAGTTGAAATCATTCACAGACCCCGGAGACGGAATGCTACCGTGAGAGGGCGAGGCCCAGCCCAGACTCGTCATGTGCGGACTCCCGCTGACGCTGTTGGGCCGGTGATCACTATTAGCAGGCGGCTCAAGCGGCTGAGGGGGGGCGTAGCCAGAGGGGTGCGATGTCATAGATGGTCGTTGGTGTGGCGCACTGCTGAAGCTCGAGAGAGACGGCGACGTGGCTGTCGGCGAGGAGCGAGGGCTGGCCTGCGGGAAATCCCCCCGAACATGAGGAGGGATAGATCCGTTCCCCATGTAGTAGTCGCCAGTGGAACGAGGCATGTTCAGTGGTGGCAAGTCACCCGGAGGTGGAATGGAGACAGGATGATGCGCAGGGGAAGGCGTCGAGTGAACAGAGGCGTGCTCGGAGAAAACCCCATCACCAGGTGCCCTTGCTCTCTCTTTGTTCTGTCTCAGGTTGGCTTCCGTCTCCGCGGCGGCCTCCTCAATGGTTCCCGTGTGATGGTTCTGATGACGCGTCAAGGTCGTGCGTCGAGTGAACGTCTTCTGACAGTTCGCATATGGACACTTGTACGGCCGTTTTCCCGAATGTATTCTGCGGTGTCTGGCCAAGGAGGACGAATCGCTGAAAGGCTGTCAAGATATTCGAGTCAGTAAACGGTTTATCAGGTACAGAATAAAAGTATGTCTGCATACCTTGCCGCATCTCTCGCACATATGCGGCTTCTCTCCAGTATGAACGCGAGAGTGCACAGTCAAAGCCGAACGTTGAATGAATTGTTTCCCACAGCCGGGCCAATCGCAAGCGTGCGGTCTTATCCCTGTGTGGATCCGCTCTAGAATGTGGTCAGTGGCTCGATGTTCACTTTTCGCATGTATTCCCATGGAAATCTTACCATGTCTAGCGAGGTCACTACGCCGAGCGAACCCCTTGCCACAAGTCGAGCAGTGGAAGGTCTTCGGCGGAGGATCTGCCCTTTGGGGCGTTGCACCACTGGGAATTTGAGCACTGCCGGTGTAAGCTCCAGGGCCGTAAGGATTCTGCAGAACTGGCATTCCACTATTAGGTTGTCCATGAGGCGGATACCGCATGTCTTGGGCAATGTTGGGTATGGGGTTCAGCGGAGCGTGCGAAGGATATGACAAGACTTGTTGATCGGAAGCTTCCGACACTCCAGGCTCAGGCTTCATCTTGGGTGATGAAGAAGGATCCAGGTTGTGGTGCACAAATTGCTGTTGAAATTGAGCTTCTGCAGCGATAGCGGCAGTAGACCCTTTTCTGTTCAAAATAGTTGTGATGTCCATGACCCGACCCAGCGACGAGCTGAGAAACGGCGGTCAAGGACACTTGAAAATGTCCTGTTCTAACTTTCCCGATGAGCAGCCGCAGATTTGTCTCTACGGCTTCTGCTGAGTCTGAAGAGGCGTGGATATGTCGATCAGCTAGAGTAAACGTAGTGAGTAGCTTCCGTGCTGTCGTTATGTTGTGATTGAAAAATCGTTTCAAACTTGGTTTGCGCGCTGATTTACCAAGATATCCGTCAGTAAAGTGAACGCAAAGAACGGGAAAAGAATGCGCTGATTTCAGCTAGATGAACAAGTACAAATAGCTGACACATCTCGACTGTGGCAATATAGAGGAGGTTCGAGAGAACTCACCAGATGCCTCCTGAGCTGCCTGATAGGGGCGCTTCCTCCGACCACGGCGCGATGAAAGAACGATGGCCAGACTCGTCGAAGTCGTACCCAGGAATGCGAGCAGACTATAGGACGGCCACAAGTCCTGAATTCCCTGGCGCGAGAAAACGGACTCCTTCTTCTTCTGAGCGGCGTGGTATTCTCACGATATTGAGCGTCCTTCGCGGAATGCGAGCCTTGATTGAATCGATCAAGGAGACCGAGACACTAGTTCAAGCCCACTCGGAGATCTGCAAACACGAGGAAATCGCGAATACCCTCGAACTCGACGAACCAGGGATTCCAAACTTTGTGTGTGAGTCCGTACCAAACTTCAGAATGCTGCACGCGTCTCGCTGTGTCTCCCGGCCTACTAGGATCGGTATCGGTAGAGATTAAGAGGGCGCTGGTGATTTTCCAGCGACAGACAGGCTGTACTCGGTTTCGAGCGCGTCTCAAGCGAGGAGGGGTTCGAGGACCTGAATAGCGGAACGTTCGTACTGCGAGGCGAGAAGTCACTAATCTCTGAGAGTGTACTGTTAGCAGGTTGAGCTTTCATGAAATCCATAGTGAATATCACAAACGAGGCAGACGAGATAGCCGGGGACCATGTAGAGCCCCGGCGAAACAACGAGGGGGGGAACATACGGGATAAGCAGACTCCAGGAGAGGAAAAGCAAGTCGAGCAACCAGCGACAAAGAATGCGTATCCAGTGACGAGGAAATGGAAGAGAAGATCCTGCGCTGAAGCTGGCCGCGGATGGATAGGCTGCGAGCGGTGGCTTGGATGGGAACTAGAGGCCGAGGGAGGGAAAAACAACTGCGACCAGAAAAAAAGTTCGGTGGGTTCAAGATGATGTCGACGGGACGCTCCTCTTCCGCTTGGGAAGCAGTCACCGTTGGTCGGGCAGGACAAAGGTGCTTTGACGCTTCGATGGATGATGGACAGTGAAGAGAAGGAAATATGACCAGAAGATTTTGATGATGATGATGATGATGATGATGATAGTGGTACCAAGCAACAGCAATAATAAAGAGACGACTACCGGAGATCGAGTACCTACTTAAGTTATGATGGAAGGCTTCCAGAAACACGTTCTTCCACCATACTACTACCGTACGGCTTTTTTAATTTATTATTTAACAATTTAATCTAGTCCATTGACTTTTTAATTGCGCTGATTATTATTAGCAAGTATTCAGCGCGTTTTATTTCAGTAACAAATCATTAATTTCATCGGTTATTATTATTATTTATTAGTTTACTGACATACTACTGGTTCAGGACTGACCAGCCTAATTGCCTTAGTCTACGGACACTACTACTGGTATCAGCACGTTTCCTCTAGAACGCCGCCCCCAAGAGGCCTAAGTGGCTCCCGTTGAACTTGAACTGTTTGAACTTTGAACAGGCCCCCCGAAAGGAAGCTGGCGGCAGCAGAAGGTCACCATCATTTTCCCTCGGCTCCACAACGTGGCCTTCCCCGTCCCCTTGGCCGTGCGAGATTCGGCTCTGGTGGTGGAGACCGTATTCAGACTGGTGCCGATCTGTACGACGAGTAAGGAATAACGAGCGATGTGTGAAGATTATTGAAGACGATACACAAGACGATCCCTGGTGTCTTCTCTGGCACTCCTGTGATGCCTCAAGATTTCAATCTCGTGGCTCATTAATTACTCCGTGGATGAGTGTTTCTCCATCCCTCCTAGTTTATCAAATCTCCTATCGAGACTCCTCATAAGGTCAGGGATGGAACTTCAAGGTTCATGACGCAACAGGGCCGGCGCTCACGGTTATGATTTCTTTTTGATTCAGAAACCGAGACGAACCAGTGCATGGTCATGGCCCCCTGAGAAGCTTACTGGCTACCCCAGAATCTCTTAAGAGCATCCATCATTCTGCAAGGCTGACCTGCAGAGAGAAAAAGGAGAAATCAATGGCAAGCGGGTGGATAATACGCCATATACGATCACTATTTTGGGACTTGCGAGACACTTTCCGGCCCCGTTATTATGCCCCTGCTGCAAGACTGCTCGCCATCGTGCGACACATGGAACCTTACAAGTGCAGACGTACTAGTTTACTACCAGCAATGAGTGAGGATCAATTACACAAGGCTGACGAAATGTCCTGATATTCAGTAGACTAAGAAAAATAGGGACAATGCTCATTTTGTTAACAGGGAGGCCCTTGCTCAAACTTCATGACTTCTGACTTGGCGAGTGAGCGATCAGCAACGAGCATTGTCTTCATAGGACGGCGTGAGGGAGTAACCCCAGTCGAAGGCTCCAAGGGTCACAGAATCACCATTGTTTAACCCCTTCGGCGAAAATTATAATTGCGCATGGCGTCAGATTAGCGAACAGCAACGGTGGGAAAGTTAATTTCCTTCTAGAAAGTTTCGAATTGTGGATGGTGGGCACAGGGCACTAATTGGGTAACAATGCAATGCTATGTCTCTAGGCCCCCGGAGTGATACTGAGTACTCCGTGGTATGTATCTACTCCATGGCTGGCTGACAAGCCTTTGCTTTTGGGATAGCAGTCTGTTATGCGGATTTACCGCCGCGGTCCATTTACTGATCAGTCTGCATGTCACGTTGGACTGCATGCTGACTGGGGCATCACAGACTTCACCAACTTCAGCATGAAGCCGGGGACTTCATCCACGGAGTCGATGACATGGAATGTGTGGGCTCATACACGAAGGGAGCAGTGTGGGCTAGTTTCGCCTAGTCCTGTTACTAACTCACTACTCACTAGTCGCCTAGTGCAGGCTGGAGATACTAAATCCAGACTATGTGTCTTAGTTGCATGGACCATCCGTATCGACGGTACAATAATAATAATGTTAATGCCTTGGTCATTCTCCCCTGATCAGGACTGATGATTGGTGAACTGTCCAAATTGACTACTCCACTATCACATCAACTTCAGAGCCTACTTTAGTACGGAGACCACAGAGTACTTGACTTCAGTGCTTCATAGGACTAAAGGAGTCAGGAGTCAGGACACACAGGGGCCACGCGGTTAAACGCCAAGACCAGTGCGGCCTTCTGAAATCCTTCTAGAAGGAATTCAGGGACGCAATGGAAGCCTTGTTCTCTATCCATCTCTGTTCTGATTCCTTCATTTCTGCATCCATCACAGCCACCTGCAATCCTGCGAGTAAGGTTCTAGGGGGTCTGAACGTCAATTCTCAAGCACTACAGAACTACTGACCACTCTCTTTCGTATACTTCCCCTAATCATCACAGCGCAATTTGAGTGCTGCGGAAGTCTGTGGTGGTGAATCTCGATCAACATACTATCAGCCCCATGACGCGGATCGTTTTTCCCTCTTCCTGTCGTCTTGCCTTGTAGGGAATAGAACCATCTTTGGCTCGTCTGATCGTCAGCAGCGATTCAGTTTATACTTTATACTGTACAGGTTATTCGGAGCCGAAAGGAGCCGGGAAGTCTATTGTTGACAATTTGACACCCCATGATCAGTGATCTCATTCATTAGGTTCAGGATTCCGCTATTATTATTGCCTGCTTCTCGATATCTGAATACCACCGATGGAAAGTCACTCCAAGGATTCTCATTGGACAAATTGCTTAGTCCATCAACGCCTCGATGTTTGAGATGGTTTCAGGTTCCCAACTCTCGAGCCGTGCCTCTGCGTAGGGATCCGTAGCCTACTGCCAGAACAAGGCTGCGAAGATAGGGGAGAACCCACCCGCTTGTGGTGGCTGATACACGCACTAAAATGATTAAAATGGGTCTGTGTGTTTCTCTACTACTAGTAATTTATAAGAATATCATATCATAATATGGATCACCATGAGACATGCTATCACGCTAGACATAAATTCTCAAGCCACTCCTGTACTAGTACCGACTGCGTAATGTTCTAGAAAACTTCCATGAGTGGGGTCGTCTGTATCCCCCTTTCTGCCTGCTGTTGTTATTTCTTACATCCTCGTCACTCTGCTGTTCTGAGGGACAGGTACTCATGAGCTGTTGTACTACTTTTTTGTACACTGATAGATTGTACAATCATCCAGCCTTGACCGTCATTGCAGGTCTGCAAGCATATACGCTGTTCAAGTTCATAGATGCAGTACTCCGTAGCAACACAACACACCACAGCACAACATACAAGTACAACAGCGTGATACAGCAGAAGTAATCATGTAGCTTTCCAACCAACCTGCACTGGACGCAATTGCGGCAAGCCACACCGGGCATCCTGCGATTCTCCCTCCATCGTCCAACCGGCGAAGGTTGCCAGATTGAGAGCACCCAATACGATTAGAACGTTTGCTCAGTAACAAACGGCACAGGGGGAAAGGGAAGGTGGACGAGATCAGGTACCTAGATACTCCCTCGTCAACAGTCAGCACTGCTTGGTAGATAGTCCGTGGAATAGGAGAACTGCTATCCATAGTTCATACTCCGTACTCGTGGGTGATACCATCCCTAAATCAACAAGCGAACCCACCTATCACTCAACTTAGTCGCACAGTCGGCCTTTTCCTACGACAGACTTGGTTAGTAGGTGGATAGGACGAGTCGTTCCCTCGTCTCCATAAACCATACTACTCATCCAGATTCCAGAGGATATTATTAAATCAAAAAGGGAATACTTCTGGAAGACGCGTAGAATTTTTCTGTCTCCCAGAGGGATCCACCAGCTGCACCGCAAATCAAGAACGTTCTGGCGTAGTTCCTTTTTGGGATTACGATGATGTCCATTGCCGCGATCTGTCTCACTCTTGAGTCTTGACTACTAGTCTAGTCTTGCCCCTTTTTTTTTATTCTGTAGTCTGCATGTCTTTTGTGGCCTTGGCTTGGATGTACTTTTGTCATGGACTTGTCGATCGTACCAGAAGTCTCTATGAGCATGATGCCAGGTCGACTGGACCGCCCGGTTTCCGAGCTGTAAGAGATACACTGAGAGAGTGTAGCCCCACTCGCATTTCATGTCCTTCACGGAATCTATAGATGTTATTACGATATTGTTGGCTTTGTATGTGCCATACTGTATACAGGTCCATCTAGGGGAGACATATATTGAAAGTTGGAATATCCACATGGAGCAAAACCCAGCTGAAGTTCACCCTGACAAAGAACCTGAAGGAGTGAACAAATACTTCCAGGCATATAGTCAGCCATAGCTGCCAGCGCTATTTATCATGTTCGAAGGAAGAAATGCAGAGAAGTGACAAGTATATATGTATTTGCGGCTTATGTCCTACTGCTAGTACTCCTGCATATTTGCTTCCGGCTCGACACTCATTAGAAAGAAGCTCTTGCTCGAGATCGCTATCCGAGAAACATCGAATACACAGAGGAAGATGGAAAGAAAATCATCCATGTATAAAAAGTCAGTGTAAGAGCAATCGTCAACTTC